TTTCAAAGTGCCATTAAGAATATGAGGCCCTGTGTAATGACAAAGTGTGGCTGAGAAGCCAGAAGTGGCTAAACCATAACAGTATTCACATCAACAATGGCACATGGAGAAGACACCTTGGGTTAGGAGGCCACGTGGATGAAGATAAAAGGTTGGAAGCTGATAGCACCTGGCAATGGTCACTTTACTCCGGGGCCTGCAGCACCATTGTGGAACACTGCTGTTTGGCTCATTTATTCATTCACAAAATATGTATTAAGGGCCCATTCTATGTCGGACACTGTGTCAGGCACTGAGGCCTCGAGAACAAGAGAACGAAGTCCTGAGCCTGGAGTTTACAGAGGAGAGGTGGAGACAAACACGGAACATGTATTAGTCACATAAATGCACATGACTACCCATGAGGCCAAGGGTCATGAAAAGGCACTACAGAGTGCTATGAAAGAGCACAGTTGGGGACCTGCTACACGTTGCAGGTGCTGGGAAGGACTTTCTGTGAAGTAGCTTTCTATCTAAGACCTGAAGGGGAAAAAAGGTGAGGGTGTTTTAGTCAGCTTTTTTTTTTCGTCTCCCTGATCAAAAGACCCTACAAGAACAATTAGAGAAGGAAAAGTCTATTTGAGGCTCATTGTTTCAGAGATCTCAGACCATAGACAGTGGCTCCATTGCTCTGGGTCCAACATGAGGAAGAGCATCATGGTGGAGGGCCATGAAGGAGGAAAGCAGCTCAGGACAAGGCCACCAGGAAGCAGAGAGAGAATTCTGATCCCCAGGGATAAAGTGTAAACCCAAAGGCAGGCCCCCAGTGACCCACCTCCTCTGGCCACACCCTGCCTGACCATAGTCACTACCCAGGAAATTCATCCAAGTGGATCAATGTGCTGAGTAGGTTAAAGCTCTCATAACCTAATGTTTCACCTCTACACTTCCTGGCATTCACACAGGAGCTTTTGGTGGACACCTCCTATCTAGGCCACAACACAGTGTAACTGGAATGCAGCAAGCAAAATGGAGTATGCAGTTGCCCTGTGTCTTTATTATACACTATGTTATCTATTTCCATATCATTTAATATAAGTATTATAGATAGCTATGGTAGAGTGCATTATAGTTGCCACATACTGTTGCTCTAAACTTTAGGTTTCATATACTTTTACCACAACCATAGTCTAGTACCATTACAGTAGGCTGTTGGTGAATATGGCATTCACCATCTCTCATGGTATAATAGCCAGCTATTGCTATTAAATGCTGGACTATACCTCCACTACTATTAATATCATAGTACAGATCTTGTATTATTAAACATAAGCTTAGCTGATGAAACCTGGGAAATATCTCTAACTAGTCTCCCTATATTGGGTTGCATGGTTCTTTAATGTGGAGAAAGAGGAAGAAGAGTAACACATTTGTTATTAGAACTTCCAGTGTGTCTAGCACTGTGCTTTAATGCATTATCTCACAAAAGCCTAATAACTCTTTAGTATGCCCATTCACAGACAAGGAAAAGAAGCTTAGGGAGGTCCTGCCATTTACCCAAGGTCATACAGCAGAACTTGAAATCCCACCTGACTGACCCCAAAGTCCACATTCTCAACCACAGAACTTCACTCCCTCCAAAGCCCTCAGCTTCCCTTGCCACTGCAGGGAGCTGGCCTGTTGAACTGTCCCTCCAGCCTGGTCCAGTGCCTCAGGGCAGGCTTGCCTTGACCCTCAGGGTCCGGCACATCTGGCCATGGCTGTGGAAGGAGTGTGGGACAAGAGGGGCGAGCAGGGCTAATGCAGGCACACCTGGATCCCTGGCTACTCCCCACGGGCCACAGAATCAAGGCAGAGTCTTCAGCTTCTCTGAGAGACTACACACCCAAAGGGAGATGTTGGGAGAACAAAGATCAGAGGGCATGAGAGCGAGGCAGAGGCCTGACTGTCTCCAACAGACCTGCGACCAATGGCTTGATCAGCTCCCGTGGGTCCGACTTGCTTACCTCCCTAGAATTCTGAATACACACCCTTCACTTCCTCCTTCTTTCCTTCCTCCCTCCCTCTCTCTCCACCACCCTACTTAATTCTGTCCTTTCGTCCTTCCATCCTCCAGCCCAACAACATTTCTTCCTATACTCAAACAAAAAATTGGAAGTTTGAGAAGATTTTTATTATTTGACAAACCTTGACAAAGCCCCTCCTTCAAGATGTCATGAGGGTTAAATGTGTGTGAGTGTTTGACAGGTCATTGGGTCAGCAAGCAAAATTTCTGGAGTAGCATTTACTACTGTATGTTTTATAAACCTAATGTGGGTGGCAGGGTGTGAGGACCGAGACACCCTGAGAAACACTGAGTACTATATTCTCTTGGGGTTCCCCCTGTGTTTACTAGTGCATTGAAAATTCTGAAAACTCTTTATTGTAAAAGGATTTTAACCGCATTTAACTCAGCATTTCCTAAACTTATTTGAACTCTTAATTCTTTTTTTTTTTTCCCTTTAATGCCTTCACGGGTCTCCCTGGGCCCTCGAAATACTGCTGTAGAGAGCAGTGTGGCTCTGGAAGGGGCTGGCCTAGGAGACCTCTAGGGCACCTTGAAGCTCTCAATTCTGACTCTTTGTTATTATTTTTCATACTCTCCGAAGCTATAGTCGTGAATTCTCATGATTGATAGGCTCTTTGTTGCTATTCAGAGCTGTTTTAGCAACAGGATTAATGCCTGTGGTTAGAGATTGTTTCCAACTCTCATAATGAGAAAAAATCACATATTCTCACTAGGAGAATGTTGGGGATTGAAACTTCACTATGAAACCATTTCTGAGGGTTGGAGTCCTTTTATCCTAAAGCCCCCAAATCACAAATTACGGACCTGGAAGATATGTAGAAAGAATCTAGCCCCCACATCACCACCCCACTGTCCATCTGAAGGCCTGAAAGGGGAAGCATCTTGGCCAAGGTCACAGACCTCTTTTATAGCAAATCCTTCCCTGGACAGCAGATGATGACATAAATAGAGGGTGGAGTGGCGATATTGACCTCTCTCTGACCACTGCAGCTCTTGTAATTAAACAGAAAGGTTAACCTAAATCAAATGCTCTTTCCACCAGCATTATGACTAACCGGGCAATCTGTCTAGGGGAGGTGGGAAGGCCCTGCTCTCAGGTCTGTAAGGAGCCTTAAACCTGCAAATGCTAATGAGCCATCACTCCAGCCAATTAAGAGAGGCAGCAAAATCGTCTTTAACAAAGGCTTCATGCATCCCCTGGGGTCTCTCTAACTCATACCCAAGGGTGCCAGGCAGCCCCTCTGGACCCAATTTTCATGGCTTTAGAAAGTAGTAAATTAACTCTGTGTGAATGGGCCTGGCTGGGTGTCAGGAGATCTGGCTCTGATCTGAGTTCAACCAAGGACCTTGAAAAGGTCCCATTTCATCTCTAAGTCTCAATTTCTTCATCAGTAAAGTCATCCCTTTCATTCACTTATGTTCATTAAATATTTTTTAGGAATCTACTATGAGCTGGTAGACAATGGGGACACAGAGACCATGGAGGTTCAGCCTTGCCTTCAAGTGACTTGAAGTCCAGCAGGGCCTGTGCAGTAGGATGACTTGTGGGCCTGAGGGAAGGGGAGGGGCCAGCTGTCTGGGATTGGGGGATGATTTCTAGAAGAGTTGCATAGAGGGTTAGTGAGATGAAGAAGGATGAGGAGGTGCTGGGCAGAGGGCTACCTGTATAAGGGTAAGAGGAAGGGGCCAACAGAGTGGAGCACTGGGCTTTGTGGGCAAGGAGGATGGTGCACATACAGCCTCCAGGGCGTGCCAAGCCTTGCCTGCAGAGCTGAGGAGTTTGGACATTATCTTTGAAGCTGTGAGCCTAATCAGCTGTAATGCTGTACAATTTGGGTAGTGAAGCTAAATGGTCACTGATTCACTGGTTTTGTGACCTTGGGCAAGGCCTCAAGTGTGCAGTAAGTGTAGCATCTTTATCTATCTCAAAGGATTCAATGTTCCTCTGGCAGATGATCCCCTGGGTTGTGAAATTTTAGGTTGTAGATTATGGTGCTAAGACAAGAGAAAGAGCATTCAAGTTGGGAGGGCCTGAGTGGGAGTGGGCCCGGCTGGTCTGCCCATGCCAGAGGGAAATGCTGTACACTGCTCTGGGAAGCCACTCTTCTTCGTTAGTGATCTCCAAGTAGAAGAATAGCAATGGAGCAGTGATCATTAGAACCATCATATGAGGCTCTGCAAGGCACATTCCTCCCCACCATTTCTTTTCATGTCCTGTCAGGTAAATTTTATCTCCAGGTAATTATTATCTCTCCCTGAGCACCAGAGAGGGAAAGTGAATTCTCCAAAGTTACACAGGAAGTAGGTGTTAAAACAGATTCTATGGAGCTGAAGAATATCATGTTAAGTGCCATAAGCCAATCCCAAAAAACCAAACCGAATGTTTTCTCTGATAAGTGGATGCTAATTCACAATGGGGAGTGGGATAGGGAAGAACAGAGTTACTTTAAATTAGGTAGAGGGGAGTGAAGGGAGGGGAGGGGGCAGGGGGGTAGGAATTACAGTAGAATGAATCAGACATTTTTACCCTATTCACATATATTACTCTATGCCTGGTGGGATTCTACATCATGTATAACTAAAAGAATGGGAAATCATACTCCATTATATATGATGGATCAAAGTACATTCTACTGTCATGTATAACTAATTAAAACAAATTTAAAAAATCAAAAACAAAACAAAAAACAAATCCTACTTCTCCTGATGCCTGGCCTAGTAAGCTGTTCAGAAAGCTCCAGCAAGTGACCCCAGATGACTGCGTGAAAAAGCCAAGGGTCATTTAGCCACATTCTCGAGAACCAAGGTGAAACTTCCTCCCATGAACTCATGGGTAGTCCGAAAATTCTTTCTCAAAAGTGCATCCTCTGTTTCCTCTTGGTGCCATGTCCCCACCCCCACCTTGAATGACCCTGGGACTACCTGCTTCCAGGCCTCCTCCCTCTCCCCTCACCTGTAATTGCCCAGGTAGACTCCATCAGGGTTGAGCATCGGTGCAATCTTGAAGACCAGGTGTTCTCGCAGGACACGGGCAATAGGGTGCTGGCTTACGAGGAAGTCGATGATCCCTAGGGAAAAAGAAGTGTCGGGGTTAACCTCAAAGTGCTTCGAGAAGGAGGGAGCACATTTCTCCTGATTTGGAAACATTAAGAGTTTGGTAGCTGATGTTTGGCCTGTGATGTTATCAGCTGCTACAGAGCTGCGGCTCTGGACGAGGTGCTACCCAGTGAATTTTACAAACTTATCTCTGTTTCCAAGAGACACACAGCTCAAGACACAACATTGAAGCCCAGGGACAGGACACAGGGAAAGCATTTCCTGCCTGAGAAAAGAAGGAGGGATTCAAGAAAAGATGGCAATGGAACTGTGCCTTGGCGGCCTTGAATGACACCAATAACCTCTGGACTGTGTTCTCATTGCTGCAACCCGAGGGGTCTCCCTAAAGCGTGAATCTGATCTGTCACTTTTTCCCCTTGGTGATGGCCTCCATCTATGTACGGGAGAGGGCACAGGAGAATCAAGGGCTCTGACTCTCGCCCCTCCTCTCATCTCCACATTTCCACGTCTTCATTGGAGATCTGAAAAATGGACAAAGTGTGGCTCTGGCCTTCCATGAAATTAGTGAAAGTGATAGAAGAGTGAGAGACCTCTCCCAATGCAGAGGGGTCCCATTTCCTGCTGGAGAGTGCAGGAGAGGCCTGGAGGAGAAGGGAACCTTTGAACTGGGCCCTGACAGGTAGGTTTGATGGGCAGGAGGAAGGTATCGGGGTCACTAAAAACGACCCCTGTGCCCAGCGTCAGGCGCTTAGCTGTTGGAATGATAAATTGCTCCAGAGCACATTCCAAAGCTGCTGTGACCAGTGAGGGACATCTCAGGCTTTTCATTATGCCAAGCTGAGCATCCAGTGGCAGCGAGAGCCGGTTGGACATCATTTACTTCTCTGCCGACGCGGCAGTGGACCAGATGCCCTAATTTATTTGTTGGTCCTCATATTAAAGTTACAGTTTGCCAGTAAACAGGCAGGGTAATGATGCCAGGCACCCTTGTTAGGGGCTAATAATTGCTTAATCTGTCCACTAATTGACCCCGGCTCCCGGGGCAGCGCTCCATCAAGAAGCCAGCCGGCACTCAGGGCCTGGCAGAGCTGCCTCAGAGAATGGGCTTCTGGAAATGGAGTGGCTCATTGTGATCCATCCTCCTTCACAGATGAGCAGATTAATTGGGCTGCCAATTAGGCAGCTAATAAAAGAATGAGAGAAAACAAAGCCAAGACCAGAGACTGCAGCCGCCCAGAACTTCCTCTCCCAGGTGGACATGGGGCAAGGAGAGGGCAGGTTTTAGATTTATCTTGTGGCTTGGGTCAGACACAGTTTAACAGAGATCATTCCCACTGATCAGAAGATATTTTTTTTTTCTTTTTTTGGTGTTAGAGGAGGGTGGTCAGGGGATTTTTGAAGAGGAATGAAGGAGAAAGTAAGAATGGAGAGAAAATGCCCTCCCTGATTGTGAATCAAAAGCATTGCAGGGACCAAGGAAGCAGAGGGACCCAGGGAGCAGAAAGACTTGGGGACTTGAATTTGAATGTCAACTGTTCGTTAGGTGGAGCTGTTGCTGAAACCAGTTTTCTCTGTCAGAATGGAAGGATGCGGATGCCTCATCTGGAAGTTTGTTGTGTGACTGGGAGAGGGCTCCTGTGCCTCGGCTGCCTTCCGGCACCTGAAGAACCCACTGGGCCAAGTCATCTCAGAGCCGAGGGGTGAGGCAATGGAAGCAGGAGTCCTGGTCTGTGAAGTTTAGTAACTATGCAAACTGAGGATAAGGACTCTGAATTGGAGAAGCCAGCAAACCAGAAGAGGACCTGGGCTCTGGTTTTCACTAAGTTGCTGAATGATCTATAGAAAATCTCTGGGCCTCTTCTCTTTAAAGTTAAGAAAAAGAACCAAACAATGCCCCAAGATGCATCCCACACTGACATTCTATGATCCCATCTATTTTATACCTTCCCCCAAGGAGAGGAGGCCTCCTCCTGTCAAGTGAGAACAATCTCCCTCCTGCTGGGAGAGTCCATTAGATCCCTTGATACTAGTCTTTGTTCCGTCTGTGAACTAGTTCGCCATGGTCCTTTCCTTTGAGCAGACTGAATCAGGAAGATGGAAGACAGCAGGGCAGTGGGAAGGCTGGGAGAGGAAGGAAAAGTGATGCAAGGTTTGCAACTGAAGCTCAGTGGCAGAGATCCTTGCTTGGAGCCAGTCTCCAGCTGGCCAGGAGGTACCGCACCATTGTTGTTATTTCAATCAGAGTGCTTGGTTCAGGGTTGGCACACAGGGGGTGCTTAATAATGCCTATTGATGGATCATTCCCAGGAACTCATTCAACCTTGACCAAGTGTGAGATTAGTTGAACTGATAATCACTCATTCTACAAACACTGCCAGGCAGGGCAAATGCCAGGCATCCTACATGAATAAGATGTTCCTGCCACTGAAGGTGTGTGGGGAGAAAGCAGCTCCCCACTGACCGGCCAAGGGGAACAGCACAGAACTGGGAGAATAAGGAAAGCCCCAACCAGCCTGGGGGTCAAAAAGGGATCATGAAGAACAAACTTACAGGAAGCGTAGAGAGCCAGATGAAAATGTGGCAGGAAGACATTCCGGGCAGAGGATTCTTACTGCCAGACTTGGTGGTGGTGAGGAAGAAGACGACCTATTTGGTAACAGACAGCTTTTCGACTCCAGGTGTGCAGCCGTATGGTTTAAAGGGCAGATCCTGAAACAGAACTCTCCAGGGGTTTGACTCTTATTTCATGAGTCATTCATTCTCTGTGTGGCCTTACCTTCTAAGCTTCTCAGTTTCCTTACCAAGTAAAGTGGGGAGAATGAGACTTACTATGAGGATTGATGTGTACATAGTAAGTGAGTAAATGAGTTGTTTCAATCCTGTGCTTACTCTCAGTTTGCCTGAGGGGAGAAGGAGTGGAGGGCAGAGGAGAAGTGAACAGGGTCTTGCTGGTCCAACTGAAAGTGCATGAAAATCTCTGGAGAGCAATTGCAAGGTTTGAAGCCAGGAAGGTACAGGATCAGATCTGGGATCCAGAGAACATCCTCTACTTCATTCAGGTTGCTTAAAAGGAAGGAAAAATGGAGGGCAGGGCAACCAAAGACAGGACAGACGTGGAGGTAGGGGAAGACATAGCAGAGATAGCCAGTAAATGTAAACCAGCTTGCAGTCAGGAACCAGGGTCTGTCATGGTGGTGACCTGCAGGGCCACTGGCATGACCAAGACCCAGAAAATTATGAGAATGTAGCGGATGAAGGTACTACCCCCAAGGGCTTTAAAACTCTGCCCAAATCATACAAAGCTGGGGGGAATGACTGACCCTGGCGGAATGGGGCATCAAAATAGAAACTTAGTTCAGAAAAGTTATATTTCCTCTACCTTGGAGTTTGGGGGATTGAGGCTTGCATCTGTTACTCATGTCTGCATTGCCTCCAGGCCATGAGCTCCAGGATGATAGGGATAGGTCTACTGTCTTTGATGCCATATTCTTAGTGCCTAGTTCAGTGCCTGACATGGGAAAAGTGCTCAACAGATGCATGTGAAATGGATGAATAAAGTTAGATCCTCAATGACTACTGTACAAGCATTAGTTGGATTGACTTGCAATGTAATTGGCCCAGGAGAAACAAAGTCTGGGTGTGACATCACTAGCTAAGTGCCTAACAGGGGTCTAGAGGGTTTTAGATCCAGCTCTGCTGGCTCAAATCAGCCCTCTTTCCATTAAGGCAAGATGGGAATAACCAGGAGACTATTTCTATGTGTTTTGCAGGATGATTTGCATATGTCTCTACCATTTTCCCTTTAGAGAGTTCTGTGAAAGATTCACTGTTGGCATCTCCTGCTTAGAGGCAGCACACTAGGGTGGGAAGAGCCCAGGCTTGAAGCAAGACAGCTGAGGTCTCTGCAGGGCCCACAGGACAGTTTGCAGGACAACAGCCTCCTGAGGCCCTCCCTTGACTAGCACAGACCCCTGGTGCCCCCTGTCAAGCCCGGGGGGGCCTCAGATTACAGAATCACAGGGAGTCTGGTCCTGAAGAGCCTGAGGCTCATGGGGTGTCAGTCCTCACCCTCCATCCCCAGCTCTGCCCACTTCACAGAT